TTTGACTCCACAATCAAAACTCATGAACTCACTGAATCTAAAACCCAGGTATTTATACTCAGGGACAAATTCCAGTTCTATGTTGCCGAGCTTGAGGACATTTCTGCTTAACGGAATTGACTTCCTTCTGAAATGGACAATCTGAGTTTTAGTTTGATTTACGGAAAGTTTCCATTTAGAACACCAGTCTTGTAACACGTTTAACATAATCTGTAAATCCTCTTCTGTTTCAGCCAAGAGTGCAACATCATCAGCATAAAGCAAAATGGCTATTGTCTCAGAGTCCATGCGGATACCTACGTTCAATTGTTTTATTTCCAGAGCCAAGTCATTGATAAAAAGTGAGAACAGGATTGGAGACAGACTGTCCCCTTGTTTCACACCAGAGGGTATCGAAAACCAGTCAGTCTGGAACTCATTTAATTGGACACATCCAATACAGTTTGTATACAGTGATTTTAGTGCTTTATAAAATCTCCCATCGACCCCTGCCTGAAGAAGTTTCAGATACAATAGATCTCTGTTTACCCAATCAAAGGCTTTTTTAAAGTCTACAAAACAGAGAAATGTGGATTTGTTTTCAGTCAATCGGGTTCTGACAATAGTTGAAACAGCAAAGATGTGATCAATACATGCTCTGTTTTTTCTAAATCCATTTTGTTCATCCACTAACAACTCTGTATCTTCAATGAAATCAGTCAGTCTAGTATTTAACAAACTGGAATACATTTTATATACTGTACTTAACAAACTAATTCCTCGATAATTGAGTGGCACTCTAGGATCATCATGTGATGCTTTGGGTATGGGTTTGATTATGGATTTATACCACAATGAGGGAATAAGGCTGTTATCAAAACAACATTTGAACAAACAGAAGAGACTATTTAGGAGATGTGGAGATTTTAGCACTTCGTTAGGTATGTTTTCTATTCCCATTGCTTTCCTGAGTTTTGCCCGATTCACAGCAACACCTACTTCTTCCACCGTGATATCAAAATTCAAAAACATATTTGGCTGATAACGATCTTGACACATAATTTTTTCTAAGTCTCGTTTTGTTGTCAACAGAATATTACTAGTGTTGGACTCAGGGACTAGTGCCACAGCGTAGAGATCTGAAAAATCGATTAGATGTAATTAGATGTATTTAGTGGTAGGGGAAACCGGAGCACCCAGAGGAAAACCCAGGACCTTCTCTATGTGAAACTCACAGGCTTATCACTGTGTTGCAAAGGACCAATCTCTGATATCTTCTAGATCTGTATTACTACAATTACAAAGATTATTGATCCATTCATTCATTTCAATAGTTAAAGCAGAAATGATCTATTTAAGATTTGTACATCCTTTAGTTTATTGAGATACTTGTACTACTTGTGTTATGTTGCCTGCTGCGCTTACAGTACATGCATACACCTGAAAATATATAAACATAAATATACAATCAAGCAACAGCATTTACCATAGTTTTACCATGTGTTGTGATAATTACAATTTCAATATGTATTCACAAATGTATGAATATAATTTGTCAGCTTGAAATGGACTGGGAAATACGTAAATTAAAAGTAAATGTAAGAAGCATGAGACTATGGTTGAAGGAGAGGTGAGGTTCTAAGGGAGGCAAAACAGACTTCTCCAGCCCATTGGATTTGAACAGCCGCAAAAAAACAAACAAGAAGAAAAAAAAACTGCAAATCCCAAGAGACAGGAGCAAGCAGCACAGCCAGGAGCAGCGTGTGAGCAGAGATAGACAAGTTCACACAAGAAAACAGATATTTACCGTACACTCTCGAAGGCACAGGACGGTCTTGGCCTAAAAGCTTGTCTAGAGAACGCGCGGCAGGAGGAGGATAATCCCTTTACATGTACAGAGGGGAAACAATGAGGCAGGCAACGAGAGCAAAGCAACTGTGGCAAAAGCTCGGCAATATCACAAGATGCATAACAGACCGCTTGTGTTCATGTTCAGCTGTGTTATAATCGCGTTAGCTCGTCGTCATACCTATAGTTTTGCACATGTTTGAGTAATCCAACCTGGCGCCCGAACTGTGCTTGATTTGCACATGTTTACCTGTTCTCTGGGGACACCGAGAGGTCATGTTTAGGCAATATAAGAATATCAATTTCAAACAATAGTTGAAATTAGAACTAGGCTTTCCAGAGCAGTCAATTACACGGCTTTTCGTTTTTGGAAGTGTAATTACTCCGCCTATGTGCGTTTTTGGTCTGTCTGATTTTGTGATTTTTTTTGTTTCTATATATAGTTTATTTTATATGTTATTATGTTTTTGAACTTGAGCAATCTCAGCTTGGAGCTTGCTCGTTACCATAGCAACACACTGTTGCTAGTTTTGCTGTATTTCAGTTGTATTTACCAGTTTTAGAAGGTATTAAAGATTAGACTGTCTGAATTACTTAATTCTAATAAAGTAGTGACAAACTAAAACTAGAAAAAAAAATATGTTCAGAATTAATTTGATTGGGAACCATTAAAATTACTGCTCTGTGGGTTCTGGTGCTTTCAGAATTCTGGGAGTCCAAGTGTTAAATAAAAAAGTAATGCAAAAACTCCAAAGTAAATTTTGGAACAGTCAAAATATTTTTGAATGACTACATTTTGCACAATATGTCCTCTTTGCAAACTGCAATGTCAGCATTAATATTTAAGTACATTTTTGCAGATAAAGCCGGGCCTCCCTGAGGGTCCGCTCTCTATCCTGGATGAGCCTCACTGGACTCAACAGTTCTCCGTGGTTCTCCACAAGGTTCTCTCTTTTCCCCACTGTTTTTGTTTTGTTTTACCAAAGCAAGATGCTCCAGATCAATCATCCTTTGCTTACATCTTGTGAACATTAGTTAAAACTGTCTGACATGACCAATGACCGATGTTTTATGTGTTTGACTTTCTTATCTGCTCTTGGCAAATCAACAATTTTATGAAGTTGGAAAATCAATATTTGATTGACTTTTTAATGCACTATTTGACTTATATTTTGATTGTATGAACGTTTTAATGTTTTTGTAAAGCCTGTTCACCTTGAGTGTTGTAAAGGGCTCAATAAATTGAAAATTTTTTTTATTAATGAATGCAAGTATATTTGAACATGGAATAAAAAACAGAATAAGAACAAACAAGACAACAACAAAGAAAAAAATGTCAACAGCACTTAAACACGTCCCTCTATGTTCATTCAATATAAATAACAACATTGAAAAAAATAAATATATAAATCAGTTACTTGACCAACCCTAACCCAACAGAGATTAAACACATTTTGAGTCCCTTGAACATTTCAGGGAATATAACAACAACATCTTTCTACAGAAAAGTCGATAGTGGACTCCTGCTTTTGTTTTTCTACCCTAAAAAATGTTTAGCAATTGTATAACTTCAACATAGACCCCCAATCACGGAGCATGGACTTTCTCTCATACATAATGTATTGACTTCTAATACGTGCGATGACTGTGGACGGCAACTCTGAGGTTACTTAGCTGTTTCTCATGTTTTATGCATCATGTATGTACTCTCTCTATTGTCCCACAAAACTCCAGGTTAAATAATGCACAACTGTGTACCAACACAATGTATAGCACACAGAGAAACATACGTTCGTCCATATTAATGTTGTTATTTTACCACAGTTTGACAATAATCTCACCCATGTACATTGGGGACAAGCAGTGACTCCAGTTTCAAGTCAGAGGGAGCTGTAGCGAGGCGAAATGACCCAATACAAGAATTCAGGATTTTATATCCTACTGATGTGCAAGCAAATAAAAAGTATCTCCAGAAGCAACCTTTAGTCAAATTTGTAAAAGTGAAATATTTAGGGATACCTTCTGTGGAAAATCAGCCTCACAGACAGACCTGGAAGTTTATTCTCAGTTTCCTTCAGGTTTTTTTTCAGGCAGAACAAAGTCAGGATCTGCATTATATAGTCAAGTCACACACACGTCACACATCGAAAGACATACGTGTCACATCTGAGACGTGGAAAGATGATAAAAGAGACATAACACGGACACACAATCGTAGCAGATACACAGTCGGAGTTGTTGTGAGCTACACAAGGCATCTGGCACTTGTATAGCTATCTATTTCTCATACCTCCTTTTAAGACAAAAACAAGCAGCACTTATCTCCCCGCAATAATGAACATCAACTTTGTCGAACGCTTTCTATAAAACACAGAAAAGGAGGCAAAGGTATGGAATTCAGGAGATTACATTTCTGGGCCAAAGTGATCCATATGAATGAGTGTGTGAGACTTTGGGGTCGATGTGTTCTATTCCCCTGTGACTGAACAATAGACTCAGACAGAGGAAGACTCCCTAGATACACTGTAAATTAAATAGTATATTGTCACGGAAAAGCTTCTTAAATTATGAACTTAGTTAAATCTTATAATAAAAAGGTGCATGCAATTTACAGAATGTATACCATATATATTTTATGGGAATGTTTAATGTTAACAATAAAACCACATTTTCTTTTCTTTGGTATAGCTTTTATAATTTTATTTGGGTTTTTGGATGTTTGTGCATGCATGCATTTTTGTGTGTTAGAAGACTTATAAACTTTTTAGATAAAAAAAAAAATCATATCTTGTATAAATTGTACAAATCTCGCCAGTTGCATGAAATCTGGAGCTTGTAAATAATAAACTTACCATACCTTACTTTTTGGTTACCTGTTGTGACTTTAATATTCTCTCAACTTAACTTAAACCTATACAGTTTCCTTCCTTATGTTTCTTCAGTTTTTTTGGGTGTTTTTTTTCTCTCTGTTTTGATGTCAGCTTGGAGAAGATGAAGCCAAAAAAAAAAATAAACCTCAAGGTGTATTTTTATGAGCCAAAAAAAGAAACAGTGCTGCTAATTGAAATGGCCGTTATGAGAGACACTAGTTGTATGTAGGTGTGAGTGCGCTGACAGAATGAGCGCTGCCGCCGCGGAGAGGGCAGATGTGGCTGTAATAGATCACTGTCGACATGCTTGTGCCCGGAGCGCCCCGCCATCTGAGCCAAGATCTCATCACGGAGCAGGACGTCTCCAGGGCGGCGGAGCTAGAGGTTAAGTGTTCCACGTTTAGCCTGCAGTAATGGGTCGTGTCCCTGGATGCGTCAAGTGCAATGTCCCCAAAAGACCCCCCCTATAGCTATAGCTGGCAAAAGGAGCACAGAGAATGGGGGTGGCACATTCTACAATCAATGAGTGAGAGATCTGCGAAATACCGGAGAGTCTGAGGTAGAAGATATTTTGGATTCTGTGGTAAATGTGTAAGTTTGGTCAGGATTAGTGCGTATTCAACATGGCATGGTATGGATTTTGTGTGTTTATTTTACTTTATTTTTATTAAGACTTCAGATCTGTGTGGTTTTGTTTAGTAAGTAAGTAAGTAAGTAATGTTTTTGTATATTATTTATTTAGCGCATTTTATAGACCAATGTCACCCAAAGCGCTTTGCAATGTTCAGAGCTCAGATATTGTTCCAATCGCTCCACAGACGGAGAAGACGGAAGTGAGACAACGAACACAGTGAAGCATCAAAGCCCCAATCACCACCATCCATTCAATCTCTCATTTACAGTGGGGCAAAAAAGTATTTAGTCAGCCACCCATTGTGCAAGTTCTCCCACTTAAAATAATGACAGATGAAACCAAAGTAGAACTGTTTGGTATAAACTCAACTCGTCATGTTTGGAGGAAGAAGAATACTGAGTTGCATCCCAAGAACACCATACCTGTGAAGCATGGGGGTGGAAACGTCATGCTTTGGGGCTGTTTTTCTGCTAAGGGGAAAGGACGACTGATCCGTGTTAAGGAAAGAATGAATGGGGCCATGTATCGTGAGATTTTGAGCCAAAACCTCCTTCCATTGAGTTGAATTTCTGTTATTGACCAAATACTTATTTTCCACCATAATTTACAAATAAATTCTTTAAAAATCCTACAATGTGAATTCCTGGATTTTTTTTCACATTCTGTCTCTCACAGTTGAAGTGTACCTATGATGAAAATTACAGACCTCTGTCATTATTTTAAGTAGGAGAACTTGCACAATCGGTGGCTGACTAAATACTTTTTTGCCCCACTGTACATTCATACCCATTGTTTTTATTGGTAGTGGAAACCAGAGCACTTGGAGGAAACCTACATAGACATCAGGAGAACATGCAAACTCCACTCAGAAAGGCCCTGTTCTGACCGGGCCTCGAACCCATGACCCTCTTTCAGAGAAGCGAGAATGCTACCCACTCAGCCACATGTCGCCCAGTATAGAATCACTTGCAGTCCTGTTCCCCAGTTGATCCAATCCAATTCACTTTATTTATATACTATATTTCATAAAAAATAAGTTTCTATAGTCCTGCACAGAAATAAAAATAACACATTTAAAGAGCGACTAAACACCTGTGCCCAGCCTTACTCCGCCCACATGAAGATTTGAAAATGTTCTCTAAAAAGGGCGTTGCCTGGAGGACCAAGGGACAAGAAGGGGGGCTTAGAGTTGGGCGTGGTCTGGGCTGTGATTGACAGCTCACTTGTCACACACAAAAAAAACAGGCAGTTGTCATTGCTGCTTAAAGCAATAGTTAACAGACCAGAAAGTCTCATTCCACCCTTGTTTACACACTAAGATAATTGTAGAGCTACACACCTGAACCTAATCACACTCAATAATATCAGAATGACTCATGTAATTTAATTTTAATCCACTAGATGGCGCCAGAACACTCCAAACTGCAGCTGGGGCGTGTGTGAGAGTTGAATGGGTTCACATCACTGGCTCTGACAGACTGACGTCACACAAAACAACTGATGTCATAGAGAACTTCAGAGTCAATGGAGAGGCCAGTGTCACTCCCGGATTCGTCCCGGAAACCGGATTCGTCCGGAAGTTCAGTTTGATCCAATGAGCATACGCAGCAGTAGATTACGTCATGGAATCTGGACGGAAGCGGAAGTAATTATAAAAAACTACCTATTCATGCCTAAACTTAACCAGCCATTCCCATAAAATAACCCCAACCCAGCCTTAACCCTAACCTTAACCATCTTAATCAGACGCCTAAACTTAACCAGTCACCACTTAAGGACATATTAAACTTTTTGACATGCGCAAACTGAACTTCCGGACGAATCCGGTTTCCGGGACGAATCCGGGAGTGACAGCCAGAACCAAATTCAAATGTAGTACCACCAAAAAGGTTGAGAGGGCACTACACAGCGTTCTTTGGCTCAAAAGTGATATTTTATCTAATTTGAACTAAAATGTCAAAAAAATGACCAGGATATGTATACAGCACTACAATAAACATACTTATGCAGTTTATGAGTTTAAAAAAGTTGTTTTGGTGTTTAGTCGCTCTTTAAAGAACCCCATTGTCATGTTCCTCCTGTGTTCTCCCCCTCCCCTTGTGTGTGTGTGTGTGTGTGTGTGTGTCAATCAATCTGGCAGCAGCCTTCACCAGCTGCAATCCATTCACAATCAAGCTCTCCATATAAACCCGGCTCTTCCACCACTCTGTGCTAGTTCGTCAGTTCACCAACCGTGCTAACTTTGCTCGTGGCTCTTATTAAACTAAGTCTTACTATTTTGTCAGTTCTCAGTTTCTTGTGTTTATACCTGTTCCAGTGCTCTCTGGATATTTTTCACTTACCTGCACCGATACCAACCAGCACCCAGCCTCTGCACCTGTGGATCTCTCTACCCGATACCTACCTGCACCTCTGGACCCAGCCTCTACCCCCCTTGGACCCCACTACCCCACTTATAATAAATTGTTTTTCTTCAACTGTTCTGGTCGTGCTCTTGGGTTCTTCCTGTTCTCGTAACACTAATATCATACACATGCCCGGAGAATGGGGATTGACTTTGTTCACGGGTCTGCCTCGGAAATCCACCAAAGACTGTTTCAGTGCTTATGATGGACTGAGAAAAATTAAGAAAAGCAAAATACAGCACATTTTAAATATACAGGTTTTCCAGCATTATGTGTAGCAAAAATAGAATCAGTAAAACAAGTATGATGCATGTAAAAACAATAACACAAACATATTGTTTCCCTGACCCTAACCCTGTCCCGCCCTGTTTCACCTGAGTCTCCTTTAAACCCTGAGCTGCTCTCCTTGTTGTTGGTCCATTGCATTTTTTTGTCTGTTTTGTCGTGTTTTGAGTTTGGAGCTTAGTTATAACCCGGATTTTGTCATTTTAGATTTTTGTGTAATTAATCATGTATTCATCTTGTGTCCTTATGCTTTCCCCATGTGGCACATCATGTATTTTATTGTCAGAAAACTGCATTAGACCGCTATTTGTGTTAACGAAAGAATCTCTACAGAACCTCTCCACAGCCCTGCACTGCCATTGCATTCGTTTTTAGAATTGTCTTAAAATCCCAGCAATCAGGGGTATATACAGGGGTTGCATCTGTACTAAAAGCCCCATGGAGGAATCTGATTTGGAAGATGCACATGCAGATTCAAATTAATATTGGAATTCAGTTTCATTTGTTTCAAAAAAAAAATATTATTTATTTTTTTGAAAATATTATACTGTAAAAGTGCTTTTTCATGCCTTATTCTTTCTCTACTTTTGACTTGTTTGCACCGAGAGCCAAAGCAATTCCGTAGTCCGTGACTTCCTGTTACTTACATGGCAATAAAAATGATTCTGATTCTGATTCATTAATGTCCCCCATCAGTTGGACCTGAAGATGAGCTAATTTTCCTAGAGACCTTAGCTGGTGACACTTCTCAGCAGGACAAGACAAGACCTTTCTGAGAGGAGTTTGCATGTTCTCCCCATGTCTGCATAGGTTTCCTCTGAACTCGCCTGCAGAAAAGAGATTTGTAAATCTCAACGGGACTTTTCTAGTTGAATACAGTAAAAAATGAAAGGTCAATAAGCATCACCATTCCATTTTTGCAAAGAGAAAAAATACAAGAATACAAAGTGGGGAAAAACTGGCGCAGGAAAAGGATTGTCTAGCTATTGAGTCAGGTAGCAGTGTTCTGTCAAAACATACAGGGCCAGTGTGACCGAAAACTTGATAAGATATTCAGAAATCACGTCACAATTCCACCTGCTTTCATTTTTCATCTCCATAGCATAAAGCAGGCGTACTGTACACGTTTCAAAAAAGACTCATAAACACGCTCACACTCCCAGCATACACTTGTGGTCACTGGTCTCTATTTCCTCGTCAGTGATAACCACACAGAGCACAAACGCATTTTCTATATTTTATTTTCTGGTTTATTGCTTCTGCAGCATTGAGCCGCATAGTTTTATTATGGTCCTCGAGAGACCCAGCGCGCGGAGTTGAGCTCTCCATTATAATGACCATTAAATATAGATAAAGCCGTTTGATAGGCTTTAAACCGGAGACACTGTTTTCTCCTCCAGCTCCCACAATGGACCTCAGACGTACTGAGCGAGCACAAGTTTTATGCAAATTCAAATAGTGGATAATGTGTCAGACAGCGGTGAAGAGAAACAACAACATTTGATTGGTTTTTGATGCTTTGATGTTGCTATGGTCCATGGATTTGTAGAAAGATGCAGACACATATCTGGCTGGATTAGACCAAATGGAATATACAGAATTCATCAACAATTTAATTAAATATGTCCTCTTATGTCATGCCGTGTTTTACAATAGATTACTACCACTATAAAACTCTGGGGATTTTATCTGGGGTTTGTGGATTTTGTATGTTTTTTCCCACGGGACTCTTTCAGACACAAACTGACCAACACTCTTTACTTGTGTGTGTGTGTGTGTGTGTGTGTGAATGACCCTTCTCAAACTGTCTTTTCAAATCAAATGTCTGTATCTTGTTTGTTTTGTTCTGCTGTACTTTGCATTACTTTACTTGTGTAATAGCAGTTTACAGTTGCCATGCCATGTTGAACTTATCTATATATGAATTAAAAAGCAAACAGCTAAGATGGACACATAAGGTGGGGTATAGCTAACCTTTAACCCTCTACGGCTGACTTAAAATGTGCGTTTTTGTTTAAAACAATTGAAAATTCATTCAAACTCCCTGCCACACAATGGTT